ACTTGAGAAAGTATAACAAATAGGATAGGATATCCTGTTGTCACATAAATAATAAATACTTTAGAAGTATATTAATATAAATTCTATATTAGTTGGCTATAGTAAAATCGGATGCCTTAGAATTTTAACTCTTGGTGTTACTTAAAGTCAATTTAGTTTTTTTTTTTTAATTAGTTTAGTTATTTAGTTTTTTTTTCAAATCATTTAATTTCAATTGTTCAAATAAAATTAGAATCATTTAATTTTGGTACTTGATTAGTCTATAGTCTTTGTGGAATGATACTCTATTTTTATCATTATATTACTTGAATTAACCAGTACTCTTACTAGAGTGGATTTAGCTCATCACTATGTGAACTTAGATGAGTTGCGCTTAGTTGGGTTGAAAAGTCATGATTGCCACATATTCATGCAGCACCTCATTCCAATTGCTTTTTGTGGCCTGTTGCTAGATTTTATATGGGGTCCATTAACCGAAGTAAGTAATTTCTTCCATGCACTATGTTCCCCTACTATCAACATAAAAGACATGGTCGTTTGGAAGACGAAGATAGTTGAAACAATATGTAAGTTGGAAAAAATCTTCCCGCCATCATTTTTTGATTATATGGAGCACCTAGCAATCCATCTTCCTTTCGAGGTGCAAATTGGTGGGCCTATATAATTCCAATGGATATACCCATTTGAACGGTAATGGGAACAAGTTGGCAATGATTTCATGTATTACAAAAACTACAACCATTTCTTATGCTCATAGCTTATTTCAAATTTTACAGAGAAATACGCAAACTTAAACAAATGATAGGGAACAAGCATCATGTTGAGGCATCCATTATCACAGCATTCATTCTAAATAAAATAACACAATTTTGCTCATGATATTTTGCCGAGAATGTTGAAAAAAGTTGAAATAAGCCCCCAAGGAACTTTGCAAGAGCTCTACTTTATAGGAACGCAAAATTCTTGATATTTGCATGCCCAGGTCATCCAATAGGTTCACATTCATGGACACACTGTCTAACTATTCAAGAGATGTAGCTAGTTGAACTTTATGTACTACTAAACTACAAAGAAGTTGATGCGCTTTTTTTGTGAGATATGACAAACTGAACTCTTATTTTATATATTTTCAGAGTTTTCTTTATCAATTAGAGCATGAAAGTTCAACTTTTCATTTGTGGTTACACCTAATTGTTTCCATATTTCAGCCTCTTTGATCTAGAAGTTGGTGCATATATGACCCCTACCAATCCACAAGAAGCATACACTAAAAGTTTTGTTATGTGATTCAAAAATAAGGTAAACAATATTTCTTTATCATGTTATGTTGTTTCTAATATTACTATATACTTATGCATATATAGTCATCTACAATATATTAACTATTTAAGTTATTAACAAAAATAGTATAAATTTGAGTAATAACACATACATATAAATTTGATAGATGTTAAGTGGCTATCATAAAGTGAATGAGGTTTTGCACTACCTTACAATGGGCCCAACATAGATAGTGAATGAATACACAAGTTATTATATCAACGGTTTTAGATTTATGACACAAGAGGTCAATAGCGCAAGACAAACATGTAATTTTGGTGTATTTGTGAAAGGAACAACCATATCTGATGAGGTTAAGACTAATTATTATGGCAATCTTAATGAAGTCATTGAACTATTGTATTATGGACCACATGGGTGATTACAGACAATTGTCTTATTCAACTGTGATTGGTTCGATACAAATAGGGTAACATGTGTGAACCAAATTTACGATCTTGTTGAGGTCAACTCATAGTACAAATTGTCGATCGACGAGCCATTTTGCTTAGTATGTCAAGCAACCAGAGTGTATTACACTAATTACCCATAAGATAATCGAGCAACTCGTGGATGGTTCGCCGCATGCAAAATATGTGCTAGACATTTGTTGACACTTCTTCAGCCTCAGCTGATATGGAAGAAATATTCTAAGATTATGAGCCACCATCCACACAATCAATTGAGCATAGTTTCGATTTGGCATCTACAGAATGTGTGGATTTGCATGCAAAAGGAGCAACAGTGGTTGAACTAAATGGAAATGTAGATGATGATGTTGATGAAAATGCTAGTGAAGGAAATGAAGGATATGAAACAGTAGGGGATGTTGATGGCAATAGTAGCGACACGGTATAGTAGTTTAAAAAATGAAGTTCATGTTAATTTTGAGTTTTTTTGTTTTTTTGAAAATAGGTAATGGAAATATCAAATCAAGGGTTAAGGGGCATGATAAGTGATGATTTGAAGTTTGAGTTGGGTTGGTTTAGGAAAATGGTTGAGTTATCTTTTATATAATTTATTATTAGATGTAATAAAACTAAAGATTAAGTTGTGTTAAAAGAAAATTTTAAATATATAACAAAAGATAAATATATGAAAAACTAACATTAAAAATATATATTAAATTTAATTCGTTAGTTTTTGTAAATATTTATTAAATAGTGATGTTTTTGAAATTGATACTTTAATTTTGTTATAAGAATCAAGATTTTATGTACTTTTTCTCTAAAAGATAGGGGTGAGAATTTTTTAGTACAGATCAAGTATGAATTATATTTAATACTTAAAATTTTTTGGGTATAATTTTTTAGACTTTGTACTTATCCAAATATTTGAAGACTATATTTGGTATTTAACGCAACAAGTATTAGATAATTTACAAATTTATACTTATATACTTTTTGAATGATATTTTGATTTAAATTTTTTTCAAATTAAAATTTAATAAAATATTATTTATTTTCAATCTAAATTTAAATAAGATTAGTAAAATGCAATAAAATATTGTTTATTACAATATAAACTTAAATATAATTTAAAATAACAATAGAAAATTTACATACAATTAAAAAACTAAACTCAATTAAATAATTAACAATAAAAAATGAAAAATATATACCAAAAAATAAAGAATGAAAATAAATTAAATTATAGAATGAAAGCCCTTCAAAAAAAAAAATGTTCAAGTTTTTGGGCTTATAGTCCCCCTAATCCTCTATGATTTGTTAAAAAGAGATAGTGGCTGATAATATTGTATTTATTTTAACATCTTAATATCTATACTTTTGATTTATGATTATTATTATGTTAAATTTAGAATTTGAAACTAAATAATCATCTACATAACAAACAAAGAATATAACTTGAAAATCACTAATAGAAAAGTGAAAAAAAAAAAAAAAAAAAGCTAAAAAGAATCAAATTTTAAAGTTGTATCGACTCACCATTGTCTAAGAGTGCAACGAAGGGAAAAAATTGTAGATTGTATGAGTGATATGTGTTTAGTTGAAGGTTTGTTATTTATAAGCTACATATGTAATTTCTTTTATTTTTATTTTTGCATTTTATTATTTTTATTTTAAAAATTATTATTATTATTATTATTATTATATAAATATTAAGTATACTAAGTATATATAAAATTTCAATTATACAAGTATGGTAACAAATCAATTAAATAAAATAATTAAACAGGTTAAGTAAATAGTTTTGAATCTTTATATTTGTTACTTGATTTAATATTTGCAGTTATAATATTTTCATATTCATCACTTAATTTTTTTACAGTTTGGGTATGATATTTATCCAAAGAGCTAAAGTACTTATAAGTAACGAATATATCCATTTCTAATGCTCACCCCTACTAAAAGAGAATAGTGCATATAAGTTTGACTTTATTTTGAAATTTAGAATTTTAACTTTAAAACACTACCCTCCAATGAATATTTTTCAAAATTAATAATTAAATTTAATATTCAATTGATAGAGATCATGCATATCAATTTTCAAATTGATTTAATATCTATAATCATTTAATTAAGAAAATTATATTTTCTAACATATATTTAAGGTATTATATTTTATATAATTAGTAAATTAGTTAGATATATTAAGTTAATTTAAAAATTGACACATATAATTTACATAAATAAAATATTAAATTCAATTATTAGTTTTTAAAAATATTCATTAAATTGTAATATTTTTAAAATTAAATTTTTAATTTTTTATAATAATCAAAACAGATATATTATTCTTATATATAAATTAATTTTTCACGTAAAAAATTATGTTTTTTTTAGCCGTTGCTCATGTGCTGTGCTAAAATCACCCTAACAAATGTATTAGTCGCTCCAAGTAATATAATGATGAGAAGAGTGTCGAATCCAAGAGAATTGTATCTAATTAAGTACCAAAATAATTAATCTAAATTTATTTGAATAATCGAAAAGAGAGAATTTTAATTAAAATAACAAAAAAAAACTAACAATTAAAATAAAATTAACCAAGATATGAGATATTAAAGCATTAACTTCACCATAATTAATTAATATAAATTTTGGATTACCAAATTTTCCTAAATTAATTAACTAACTTTCTCAAGTCAAGTTAATCCTTCACTTGTTTGTTAAATTAATCATATCTCTATATAATTTTAAACAAACTAATGAGTATTAAATTCTATGTAAATCTCTAATTTAATAAGGGGGAGCTCCTAACTCTTTTTTTTTCCTCTATTACCACATGTAAGCTAATTACCTCTCGATTTCATAGTATAACACACGGTTTATATTATTATTGATCTAATTTACACAATTTTTTCTCAAATTTATGCATAAATTACTAAATCAATTGAAAGATGATCAAGCTTCCAATGCATTAAATTCAATAATATAAACTTATCATACAAATGACTTTAATCGAAAGTATAAAAATCACAAAATTTATATTAAATTGTTTAGGCTACATCATAACCTTAATAAAATAAATTAGTTTATAATAAAAATAATTAAATATGAAATCACAATGATAAACATAAGAATATCTAAGGAAAAATAAAATCTAATTTGAAATAATTGAAATTCTTGCTCTCCTGTTGTTGATATATCCTCTATTTTGACCTCCAAGAATGCCAAAAAGAGGACTGCCACTAGCCTTCACCAGCTCTCGCAATTCTAAATTTAGAAGGGTATTTATAGGATTTTAAAAATCATAATCGGAATAAAAATTGGATTTGAAATAGAATAGGAAACTTGAATACTGAACGCATAGTGTTGACACCTCTACTATTAAATCAAGACACAAAAAAAGCTACCTTCATCTGGATGAGTTTTGGAACTTCGTGCCCCAACAAGCGCTGAAGACAAGAAGAAGTAGCCCAGAAGGACATATAGTTTTGTTTTGGACATCCCAAGATAGCAGAGTTCACCAGAGTTGTGAAGCATCTTTGATCACTACACACAGAACCAAAGAAGAAAGCAACAAAGACTGAAAATTTAGCCCCTTCGTTTTTTTTACCAGAAAAAGAAAACAACTTTAGTTTGTATTTATTCAGATAAATATAAAATTCCTGTGTGAGACAGACAGCCAAAGAGACAATGAAGCATTGCTGTAATTGTAAAAGAAATAAGGAGGAGGATTGGGAAGATAAATAGAAAATAAAACATTACCGTGTAGAAAGACAGAATTGTAGAGGGGAAAGGTTTTCTGCAACATGAGATGAAAATGAGAAGATAAAATTGAAATCCCTGTCTGACAAGGTTACCCATGGGCCTGGAAGGCGGCAGAAGTGATGATGTGGATATGAGGTGACGACGCCCATACCTAATTTCTTCTTCGATTTTCATAGCGTATTTTTTTTTATTATAAAAATTAATTATGACTAGTGTTAGTATCTTTCAGTGTTTGGGAAAAATTGAACAATCACTACTAGAAAAATGACGTATGCGGACCGATCATATACGGACCGAAACGTTTCGGTCCGAAAAAATAAATATTCGAACCAATATCGGTCTGAATATATTCCGGTGGGGGAAAATATACTGATGAACATATTCGGACCGGTATTGGTCCGTATATTTCTGGCGGGAGTCACAGTGTAGACGCGCCAATAATATTCAGACCGTTTTCGGTCCGAATATTATTTCTGAAAAAAATAAATATTAAATACCAAAAAAAATTTCTGGCGGGAGTCAACAGTACAATCGCGCCAATA